GGTAAGCAGAGTGTATAGTGGCCTCCCGCTAGATGGAGTGACGATGATAAGAAATGCAGGAAGTTGATGGATGCAGTTGGATCAGAATCGCATCTGTGGCATTCCTTGGGGTGTATATTAAACAGTGGACAGCTTTTTCTACCGACTCCAAAAAGGAGGAGGTACTCAATTCGACTGTATGTTATTTTATGTGTGTTACCTAATACATTTTTTCCCGATTTAGATGATTCTTTTTTTATTTGAAAGCTGTTGCTTCTCATGTGGCGCCATATAAATTTGATCAAGGTCTGATCAAAAGTTTTTGAGTTATTCTTAACAATTTATATTGATGTCGGTTTTACCAAATTTTTAATATTAAATTATTATTTTAATTTTTCCATTTATAATATTAGAGTGACGGGCAATCTAATAACTAAGTCTTTAAGCCGGCATATGCTCTGCTTCTTAGTGGCAGAAATGGGCGAGAGGGGGTTATTATACATTCAGGCTTACAGGTCTTCTTTAGCCTTCTTTTGCTTGTCTAGAATATCTTCAAGATATACTAGACAATTTAGTTACAATTTTAAAAATAAATTGAAACAAATGATTATTGGACACATTCAATGATAGAAATATAGAAATAATAACATTTTCTACGTGGTAGAGCCATGCTGCAGCTATATTATGGTTGTAGCACGAATGGGTCGGCTCGACCGGGGAAGGACCAAGCTCTCACCGAAAACCAGCGTAAAATAGCAGCTTAACGCTGCTGTGTTTCGTATGGTGAGTGTAGAGAACCGGAGACCCTTTTTACTGGCAAAGAGGCATTCCATCTTAGTCCTCACGGGTGACAACGCATCTGCATCTTGAGTCTTTATTGAGGATAGATGTAGATGTCTATGAGTCACAGTAACCACTTACCATCAGGTGGACTGTGTGCTTGTTAGTCACCCGATCCTATAAAAAAAAATGCATCTAAATCGTTAAACTATCGCCAGAAGCAGTGTCATTGAATATAATTTGTTTTTAAATATTATTTAGTTAGTAGTAGTATTTAATTCAGGTAGCTTTAAAATTACTGCTTATTGAAATTGGTGAAACGTTCAAGAGAGTGTAAAAGAGATCACTCGCTTTTACACCACGAAATCAAATCAAATCAATTTTATTGTAATCATGTGGTGTATGAACTCAAAGCTGTAAATTTTGAAGGTAATAAATTAAAAAAGAAAATTTTATAACATTTTTCCTTATTTATCCCCTTAGATACATGGTTCTTCTAGCTTTATGTTTAAAAAAACATATTGTATGCAAGAAAAAAATATACAAACATACATTGCTAGGTTCCCTTATTTAATATTTGTATATAGAATCTTCGCCCATTTAAAACTTTGTTTTAAAACTTCAAAAACGATTATTATAAAACTTTTCCCATATGACAATAATATTTCTTGAGCTATCTAACCGCTGAGGAAGTATACAGGACTAAGTAAATAACATGTGAAGTGGCTCGCTCTATTTTATTACCCGCGTAACTTGTTAAAAGCCGACCGTAAACTTTGAATGGAAAATCGTTAAAAGTGGCAACTTTCTAGGACCAAGAACAATGAAAGCAACTTATATTGCTTCGTCTAGCCCCCTAACTATTCGAAGTTTTGCAATAAATTTAAATGTGAATATGTCGTTTAAAGGAAAGAGGAAGCACGGCACGAGTTTGGATAAAGTGGGCCGCTTATTACACCGTACTGTAATTTTAACAAGAAGCCATTAGGTGGGTGACGTTTATTTTTACTAGCTAATGCGAGTGATAAATGTCAAAAACTTTAAAATTCAATAACTCCAGGGATGCGAGTATCAATCCTGCACAGCTGACATTGCATAGAAGAAGTGATCACTACGTATTTAGTAAATATTAACGTTACTGTACGCTTTAATACAAACTCACTTGTCCTTTATCGGATATTCTAGCTATGTAATATTTTATATGTAGTAGATGCATGATGCATGCGGACTTGATAAATCTATGTAGGAAAAAGATCACGCTCTCACAGCGTCAAATGGCGGCTCGACGCTGTTTTGCAAGGTCAGTGCAGAGAACCGGCGTCACGTTTTACTGGAAACGAAGCATTCCAATATTTGTCCTAAGGGGTGACAAAACGTCTATGGGCCACAGCATGAGGTGGATTGTGTGCTCGCACCCACATTCAATGAAATATGAAATTTAGTAATTTGAGATGGTGGTTTTTGTTATAACTTCGTATTGTAGAGTTGTATACATCATTGGTGTATTTTAAATCGAATATTTCTAACTAAATAACCCACCTTTTCAGAAATAATTTACTCATACATAAAAGTAACCTACGTACATTTAAAAGAAATATTCTATTATATATTTCATTATGAAGTACACAACGGTGTGATAGGCGCTACCATAAAGCGATGAAATTGTTTTCATCACTATGAGTCCCGAACTTATTGTTGATATTTGATACTAACGGTTTAATAACTTTTGTTTGTATTTCTGACTTTGTACATTATTTGTTTACATTACTGCATTCTAAACGTCTATAAAATAGTAACTGCTTTATAGTTTTTACTTTTAAACAGCGGTAGAGCCACGCGGCAGCTTTTGCTGTCGCACGGATGGACCGGCTCGAACCGGGGTGGTACCACGACCTCACAGAAAACCAGCGTGAAGTAGAGGTTTACCTCTGCGTTTCGCTTGGTGAGTGCAGGTGGCCGGAGGCCCTTTTTACTGGAAATGAGGCATTCCATCTTAGTCCTCATGTGTGACAACGCATCTACATTTTGATTTGTAATAGACGATAGATGTAGATGTCTATGGACCGCAGCAACCACTTACCATCATGTGGACTGTGTGCTCGTTTGTCAACCTTATCCTGTAAAAAAAAAGTAAAAAAAAACTGCCTAGCCTAGTAGGCCTAGCTAAGAGAAAATCGAAAATAAAATCAGAAATATCTAATTCGGTCTACATATTTTAATTAATATCATTGGTTTAGTACAGTTTCTACAAAGTATAAACGAATAATTGTAACACATGCCATAAAGAAACACAATATGAAGCATTTCTAAAAACCTTGCTAGTAGGCCTTATTTTACTATGGTAGGGTAATAAGGCCTACTGCTTTAACGATCTCAAATAATCATAATACGTAATATATTTAATATTTGTGATCAATGATCAATGCAGCAATTAAGACTTAAAATTCTAAAAAAAATATATATAAATTGCCTCGTATACTTTGAAACCCAATGACCATATGCATTCAAATGCACAGATTCGTTTATAATACTAGCTAATCATATGCCTCATACCGAGGCTGTATTATGTTTGGTAAAGTAAAGTAAAGTATATAACATATACCTCCCACTGCTGGGTACAGGCCTTGTCTAATTTCTGAGAAGGTTTTAGGGCAAGGAAATGTCCGTCGCGCTCCTTAAATGCATGTTGGCGAACTTCACATGTCTTCGAAATGTATTTTTTTTATTTCTCAGATTTACTTACGATGTTTTCCACCACCGGAAATGTCAGTGAGCGCTTAGCCCCTCAGCTGCTACCACGGCTCTTATCATATTTGGCTGCAGTTTTTTGATAAGGTAGAAATAGTTACGGTAAAAATAGATAAGAGGTACGAATTGACCCAGAGTATCTATAGAAACTATAGAAAATGCTGCCATATATTGAATCATTCACTCAATGACCATTTAGGTGGGGTGTTTTTTTATACGGGGAAATGCCTACGCATACCCGCCTTGCGGGGGCAAGAACGGGTTATGTCGCACTCGCACCGACTAAAACGCCACGGTGTTCTACCTTCGCCGCATATTGGCAGGGCCACGGGAACGCTTTCGCACACATCTGCGGCCCCACCAACGCTGGCCGCCCCATGGCAGGCCCTTCTCAGGGAGGACTTCTTTTCCCCATTCGCCTTCTCAGGCAAGGCGCATCAGGAACACAAGACACGCCTTCCTCCACGGTCTCCAATTCCAGCTGCGTAACGGGCTCGCCCGAGTCCGATACGCGGTGGTCATGGGGCCAGGAAAATCGAGCGCTCGATAGCACCCGCTTTCTCGACCCCAGCGGCGGATCTGGCCTTTGGCTCCGCCGCCACCCGAGTTTCGGCCGCAGAGGGTAGGGAGAGCGATACTCCTCTCCCCCCACGGCCCTACCACCACTGCATCAACGGTGCGGTGGGCGAGTGGCGCGTCGCCATACCAACACTCCTCTTCTTCCGCGACTCCACCTCGGCTGCAGCGGTAGCGGAAGAGGGCAACCATCTCGCGGCAGCCCCCCGACACACATCCGAAGTGGGCACGCCAAGCCCACTCGGAGTGGCCACCTTGGGCCAGCCCTACACCACGGGCCAGCCAAGGGGTTCCTGTGTTCACCGCGGGTGACCAAGCCACGGCTACTAAACCCCCCCCGCCACGTCAAGGCGGGAACCCGTTCGGGGGGTTGGGGGCTTAGGTCTACACGTCCTTACCCTTCTTTGACAATGACATGAGTCTATAATATCGTCATTTGCTAATATCATTAATTGATAAAACAGGTTTAACATTTTATCAGCATTAGTGTTCCGTTACATCAGGGTTTCCCAACCTTTTTTTATGAGGGATCACTTTGATTTTTTTTGTAGTTAGCAGGGACCACAGGGTGATAGAAAAACTGTGTTTATCTGACAATAAATTATAATCACAACAAATGCATTTCATTAAAAGTATTATTTGTATATTTATTGTAAAATCTAGTAGGTACTTACTAACGTGAACCGCGGTGTTGTACTTCCCGCGTGACGAGATAATAATAAATGTGTTGTTTAAAACGATTAGGTGGATATATTTAAATCTTTCGCGGATTATATTTAAGTTGTCGCGGACCACTGGTTGGGAACCACTGAGTTATATACATATCAAAAAATGTGATTAGATATAAATGTACAGAATCTGTAAACAAGCTTAAGACATAACGGTTTAAGTTGCGTTACTGCTGCATGATAGTGAAAATGGGACTGCTTAAATTTCTTATTTACTTTGTAATGTGTCATGTTATCGTTTCGAATGTATATGCCAAAAACGAAGAATACACTGGGTAAGTGTGAATTTGTCGATATTTTAGTATTCTTGATGGAAATTCATATAAATACTATAAAACCCACCAATTTTTAAAAGGCCAGCATTGCACCTGCAATTACTCTGCTTAATTGCTTCTAATGGTATAATAATAATAATGTCCTTCTGACCGAATTTCGGTCACGGCGCGGCGGTAGGACAGAGGCTAGCCATCTGCATATGACAGGATTATAGTGCCCAAGTGTATGCAAAATCACAGGTTCACTCTCAACACACTCCTTCACACTTATTCTGTAGTAGCGATCAGATGGTAGTCCGAAATGACCGGAGAGATATCAGGTGGAACCAACGGTTTTACGTGCTTTTCGAGGCACGCGTGTGAAACACCGCCGACGTTTTAACTCCGGCTGCTACTGAGAATTTCGTGACAGAAAAAGCCCAATAACTGATTTTGACCCGAACTGGGATTCGAAACTGGGACCTCATGATCAGCAACTGGACCTTATGATCAACAACCACTTTTATAACCACTAGACCAATGAGGTAGTTCTAGTGTTATAATGAGCGGCTATAATTGGCCAATTTCCATCACGCGGGCACATAGTCCCCATGATGGTAAGTGGTTGCTGTGGCCCATAGACATCTACATCTACCCACGATTACGAATCAAAATGCAGATTTGTTTTCACCCGTGAGGACTGATGGATTGCCTCTGTTCCAGTAAAAAAGGGTCTCCGGTTCTCTACACTCACCATACGAAACACAGCAGTGTTATACTGCAATTTTACGCTGGTATTCTGTGAGAGCGTGGTACTTCCCCGGTCGAGCCAAGCCATTCGTGCTGCAACTATATCAGTAATATAGCTACAGCATGGCTCTACCACGTATTAATAAAATTGCTTACTCAGAGTAGTGAGTATGTCCGAATCTCACAAGTAATGCATGCTTATTTAGCACAGTGATATAGGAATATACGTCCTACTGTGGACATAAAATGCTGTCGATAATATCCCCAGACCTTTAATAAAGCCGAAATGTTTTTTACCAAGTGTGGCAACACGAATAGAATAGAATGGAATAATTATTATTCAGTGTTGTTTATAAGTAATTTTTATTGTAAATCATTTTTTTTTAAGTTAAAAAGTTAAAGCTACAGCCTATATACGACCCACTGCTGGGCACGGGCCTCCCCTCATTTCTGAGAGGGCTTTAGGGCAAGGAAATGTCCGCCGCGCTGCCCCAATGCGTTTTGGCGAACTTCACATGTCTTCGAAATATATTTTTTTTTCTTATTTCGCAGACATGTAGGTTTCCTCACGATGTTTTTCCTTCACTGCCGAGCACGTGGTAAATCAGCACTTAAAATTGCAATTAACAATATCATTGGTGCCGTTGGGGATCAAACTCTGGTTGCTCGCGAACTGTGAAATTTACAGCGAACGCTACCCATCTGAGCTACCACGACTCTCTATTTATATTATATGCCTATTTCTTAAACATAAGCCACATTAAAGTATTTAGTGACTAAATTTATTGAAAAGTGATTTATGGGCGTTATTATTAGGCATGGCATATTAATCCTTAAAACGAAAGTTACTTCATCATCAAGACAATTTTATGGAGATACATTTCGCCCTCATAGCATGTTATTTGAACGTATAGTTTATAAGACAATGAAAAATTATATATTAATTTTTCATTCAACACACTGCTCGGCGCGCGAACGACAATAATCCTAATCGCTCGATGAGAACCGAGAGAATTAATATATTTTAATACCACATGAAAATATTACTAAAAATATTGTCTATACTGAAGAATTATAAATCAATAATCTTAAATTATACGCGGGTGAAACCGCGGTGCACAGCTAGTGTCTTTATATATATACTCGTTGGTGAGTCTCTTAGCGTTTGCGTACTGTTAGCCATATTCGCTGTGACTGTGATTATGAGTCTAAGAAAAAAAAAAATTCAAAATCTGGACCCGATCCTTTTGTCGAGTTATTAATAAAACTTAGTGTACAAAGTCGAGTTAATTTGAAGTAAAACTTATCGAGCCACCTTTCGGAAAGGGCAGTACAACTTTTTTCGGACTTTTTAGGAAAAATTTAAAAATAAATGAATGAAACGCGATAAAATCCATTGTTATATATACACATATAATAAGATAATTGGTTTTATGTCAATCCCATGTTTTCGATAATAATGTTATGATATAGCTCAGATATATGGATGTGAAAGAAGCGAGAAGGGTGGGTCAGGATTGTGACAAATGGAAGTCCGTAGTCTCTGCCTATCTTTTTGGGTAACATACGTTAGAGTTTGTAGCTTTATAGCATATATATCTTTCTTTCAGGTTCAAAGTATACAATGTTAAGCTTGAAACCGAAGAGCAGCAGTACAAATTTGAGATCCTCAAAAGTGATGTTATTGGTTATTGGCGGAAACCATCAGTGAAGTTTAATATCACCGGCCAAGCAATGGTACCACCATCACATTTTAAGTGGTTCGAAGAGAAGCTAACTGAATTAGGCGTAGCTAAAGATATTTCAATCGAAGATGTGTTTGAGTAAGTTGAAAATCTATTTATTTATTTATTTAATCTTGTTTGTTGACACCTTAAAAACAAGCGTAACAAAGGGCGGACTTAATGCCTAACGGCATTCTCTGCCAGTCCACCCGTGGAGTGATGAGATAGTATTAATACAAAGTCGATTTTTTATAGAATAAGGGTGATATACGATCATACAGTCCACCTTAAGGCAAGTGGATGCTGTGGCCCATAGACATCTACATATATCCTCTAAGGTGTAACGCCACGTTTCCAGCAAAAAAGGGTCTTCGGTGTTCTACACTCACCAAAAGCATAAAGCTGCTATTTTACGCTAATGTTCTGTGAGAGCAAGTATTAAGTTAAGTAAAAGTAAAGTAAAGTTACAGCCTATTTACGTCCTACTGCTGGTCACAGGCCTCCTCTCATTTCTGAGTGGGTTTTAGGGCAAGGAAATGTCTGCCGCGCTGCACCAATGCGTGTTGGCGAACTTCACATGTCTTCGAAATAGATTTTTTTTATTTCTCAGAGATGCAAGTTTCCTCACGATGTTTTCCTTCACTGCCGAGCACGTGGTAAATCAGCACTTAAAATTGCAATTAACAATTGCATTGGTGCCGGCGGGGATCGAACCCGGGTTGCTCGAGTACTGTGAAGCTTACAGCGAGCGCTAACCATCTGAGCTACCATTGCTCAGTATTAAGTCAGCTCGAGCGTATTAATGTATAAAAACTTATATTACAACAAAGTTCGAAAAAATATGTGCCATGAAGAAAATTTACATAAGACAAACTGCTTAAAAAGGGGTTAATATGATATTACTCCCGTATAGAGACTGCGTTAAATATGCAAGAGGGATACGAAAACAGAAGATGGTCAGCAGGAACTTATTGATAAAAACTCCAAATAATAAAAGGCTGTTTTTTTATATTCTACTAAGCCAGCATTTATCTACGATCCCACCTGATGGTAAGTGGTGATGTAGCCTAAGATGGTGAAGCGCACTGACTTAAAAAAGCCTATTCACTCTTGCCTTGAAGACACCCACACTGTAATCGGATAGAAAGACAGATGCTGGAAACTTATTCCACTCCTTTGCTGTACGCATGATGAACGACGTGATAAACCGTTTGGTTCGAATGCGTGGTAAGTCAACAACGAAAGGGTGGAGACTGGCCGAACGTCTGGTTGTCCGATGGTGGAAGGGAGAGGGTGGAATTAAATTATGTATAATTCCTGCGCACACTCTCCGAAATGCATCATGTAGAAAACCGAAAGACTGGCTACTTTACGTCGGTGTTCAAGGCTGGTAAGATTGGTTTTAACCAAATTCGGTTACCAAGTCACGTGGTTCGGTTGTGGTTACCAACTCACATGATAGAGCCATGCTGTAGCTATATTAGTAGTATAGTTGTAGCACGAATAGGTCGGCTAGACCGGGGAAGGACAACGCTCACACAGAAAGAAAGAAAGAAAGCGTAAACAGTTTAACGCTGCTGTGTTTCGTATAGTGAGTGTAGAGAACCGGAGACCCTTTTTACTGGAAACGAGGCATTCCATCTTGGTCCTCACGGATGATGACGCATCTGCATTTTGATTTGTAATTGAGGATAGATGTAGATGTCTATGGGCCGCAGCAACCACTTACCATCAGGTGGACTGTGTGCTCGTTTGTCACACTTATCTTATAAAAAAAAACCACCTGCCAAGCGTGGCTACCATAGGCCACTGTAGTACTCTATAGTACCCTATACTATAGTACTACAGTATATGTTCGATAAATTGTACCGTAGTACTATTACACTATACTAGGGTAGATATTTTGCAACCTATGATGAAATCTATGGATCGGTCCATGTTCAGCGTGGACATTTGATAGGTTGTACTGAACTAATGAAAATATTAAGTAATTCATGAATAAGTTATCTTAATTAAAGAATTTTTACCAAGTTGTGTCTCAAAGTATTTACTGTAATAATAATTGGTCATTATCATAGTAAAATTCTGTTACTAACTGGTTCTAAGCAAAAAATTATGTTTCTAATCGGTTCTAAGAACAGAAGTAGGTATATTCCAAACCAGCTGTGTAAAATAATACGTCAATATACGTCCTATTAAAATATCTACATAAGTTTAAGGATGCTGATTAAATTTTTCTTAGAAATTCTGACTGAGGTGATAAAGAAAGAAAGAATAATTGCTAGTCGCTATATATGACTCAGATAATCGAAACTTAGTCCACGAGGCTGTCAACAGATACTGTACAAATTGTATTTACCAGCTTTGAATTATCATAAATTAAAAAATTGCTCCCAAGAATAAACAATGCTTTTTTATGCGGAAAATCGTCAAAACACAGACGACGTAAGCATTTTTTTTTATAGAATAAGGGTGAAAAACGAGTACACAGACCACTTGATGGTAAGTGGTTGCTGTGGCCTATAGACATCTACATCTATCTTCGTTTGCGAATTAAAATGCAAATGCGTTGTCAGCCGTGAGGACTAAGATAGAATGCCTTTTTTCCAGTAAAAAGGGTCGCCGGTTCTCTACACTCAGCATACGAAACGCAGCAGCATTAAGCTGCTATTTTACGCTGGTATTCTGTGAGAGCGTGGTCTTTCCCCGGTCGAGTCGACCCATTCGTGCTACAACTATACTATTAATATAGCTGCAGCATGGCTCTACCACGTACAAAAATCCCATGTTGCATTTGATTAAAGCAATAAAGAGCCAGAGGTTTTAATCCCACACGGATTGTACATATATTGTATGTATTTTCTACAAATAATTGTTCTGGGTCTGGATATTTATCCGTGTGGGTTTTGTGAATGTAAAACGCCTGCACGATACTCGAGAAAATACCGAATATACTTTTGAAAATGGGAAACATAATAATTTAATGATTTACCATTTTTCCAATCAAGTACAGTGGGGAGCAGAGCTTAAGAAGAAGTAGTAAGTAGTAATTGTAAGAAGTCTAGTACGTCAACCGTCAATCCGTCTGTCTAGCGTCAATATATGAGGCAAGTTTTCTCTTTTCCTTAAAAGTCCTATGTAAATTAGCAGACTTTTAGAGACGTATGATGAAAAATAAGAATTAAGAACGTCATCATTGATATTAACTAATACAAGTATTTATTTATAGGTACTTGTCATGGAAAGAGGAAGTCGCAGAGAAGATTTTAAGGAATGAAGAGGACAAAATGTTCAGTTTTGATGATTATTATCGTTATAACGATGTGAGTTTTATTGTTCTTAAGGATATGCCCACACCATCTGAGCTGACGTAGTATTAAAAGAGCTTCCATACCGTACATCCCAGAGCGATGCAGAACCTCAGAGTTAGGAACATGATCTTGCCACTTGATATTTAATAGATTTCTTAGACACCTTAGGCGGAAAGCGTCAAGTTTCTTTATGTCTGATTTGTAAGAAACCATATCTCTGCGCAATAGCGCCTTATATATAAAAGGACAGGAATGATAAGTGCTCTATAGAAGTATTTTGTAACAGAAGCAACTTAATAGCTGAAGTCTATATCGATATATTATATAAGCAAATTACCATCAAGTTTAAGGTTTAGTTTTTAAGGAAAAGGAGAAACCGCGGTAAGTTGCTAAGTCTGGAGTGCGGCCAGGAGATTCAGATGTAGTTCGGTCCATATTCGTCATTGTTGCAAAGTTTTAAAAGGCAGTTAAAAATCCAAGACCTTGACTTCTATGATGTGTAAATGAACAAGTAAATCTTAATTTTCAATAATTATTTACTTACTGTAATATTGAACACCTTTTAAACGTTACATAGAAAATTGGTCAAACTATAGTCTATCAAGTTTTAATCGGTTTTCCGAAAATCCGTCACTTGGCATGCATTGTCGGGGAAAGTTTTTAATACACACCACGTTAACAACAAGTTATAAGGTGACTGCAGGATAGACACCCTCGTTCTGGTAATACTCTTATTTGCCGATCTGTATACTTTAGATTTAGAGTATTTTAAGAATTCTCTGTGTCGAGTTGGATGTCAAAGCTTTTTGTAAGACAACTAGTTAATGAAAGAAATAAAAAGAAAGAAAGAAATTCACTTATTCCCGTTTAAGCATGCTGCACAAAATGTAAAAAAAATGAAAATAGGAGAAAAGGTATTTACCAACATCATAAATTAGCCTAAAACTGCTTAAAGGCACTTTTGTATCGATTTTTTTGTAATTTAAATAGGTACACGGCAATGTCTTAAAATAAGTTAGACGATACTAACCCAGAAGGAAAAAATCCATATCATCATTTAGGGTGAACTACAATATTTTTTGTTAAAGATTTTAATAACAACACAGTTGGTGGTTTTTACTTAGATAGTAATAAATAAACATATTTTTCACAGATATTGAATTACATCAGGACTTTGGAGACTGCACATGAAAATTCAACAGATATCAATTTTAAAGTAATTGACGCTGGTTTAACAGCAGAGGGAAGACCTTTAATATATATCAAAGTTACAAGCCAGGCTGCAACAAGTGAAAAACCGATAATTATCATCGAAGCTGGCATTAATCCAAGAGAATGGATCACTATTCCGACATCATTGAATATTGTCAATAAATTACTAGACCAAAGTTATAATAAATTTATTAATAATTTTGAATGGATCATAATTCCTGTTTTAAATCCAGATGGATATGAATATACTCATACAAATGTAAGGAATTATAATATTAAATATTTCTTATTGTTAATAGGATTTCAATTAATTCCTTAAGACCACTCGGTTGAAAATAGAATAAAGGAATATCATTGTCATCATCATCATCATAATTCGTTAAAGCCTAAATCAAAAGTATAAAGTACAAGTATAGAAATAACAAATTATGCGACTATGGGAAATATCCTCTATAATTTGTTTGGAAGACGGATTGGCTCCTGCAGATTGAGATGTTATTAGAAAATGCTACTGCTCGTCTCTTGTTTCATTTTATTCTTTCGCCTCTTAAGAAACCCATAGGATAGTGGATTGATAGTGAACATGGCAAGGAAACTAATGTAAATATAATTTTTCACTTTTATATAAGTATGATTTCCATAAATTCTAAAAAATAATTTTTCAGTTGCGGTTATGGACGAAGTCGAGAAGCATCCAAAGTCACTTGGGCGCCATTTGTCCAGGAGTTAACATAAATCGCAACTTTGACGTCGACTGGCTCTCTTTTGACTCCAGCTCGAGTCCATGCAGTCACATTTATGGTGGCCCTGAAGCCTTTTCTGAGGTTGAAACTCGACTAATTAAGTCTTTACTAGATAGTAATGAAAAAAGAATTCGCCTTTATGTTTCTTTGCAAAACAATGGAGGGTTCATTTCTTATCCTTGGCAATATGAGAGAGCTGCTAGTGGAATGTTTGTACAACAGCACCTTTTAGGACTAAGTATGATTGAAGCGATGCAAGAACATTATAATTTGGGTGTTTCTTCAGAAGTATATGGTGATAGAGCATCAGGTACAAGTACAGATTTTATGCGGAAAAATGGTGTCCTGTACACATTTAACATAGACATAGTGCCAAGAAGTGAAGATAGCGTTATCATACCAAGAGAAGAAATTACAACCATCGCTGAAGACGTATGGAGAGCTGTGTCAGTGGCAGCAGACAATTTACTATAAGATGTAGTAAATACTTAAAAAGCAAAAGGCATAGTATTATTACATTGATTCTGTATTAAGAACTCAGGTGGTAGTTCAGTTCAATGCTCGCCGTATATTTCATAGTACGCAGTAACCCGGTGCCGTGTAGTGGCAATTAAGAATATCCACTACCCCATGTCTTCCCGTGGGTGTCGTAAAAGGCGACAAAGGGAAACAGGCAGAAGATGGGCAGCAGCATCTTCCTAATAACAACAAAATTACAATAAAAAACTGCGATTGCCAACCCGCTTGCCAAACGTGGCAACTATGGCAAAACCCCCCCCAATGATGAGAGTAACAAAGAGACGGCCCCTAGTCCCCGGCGGCCCCGCTATTCCTGGCTACGGTGGCGACCATGGTAACGGCGGGGCAGAGGGTGCTAAGAATCTCCGGTGGAGGTTCGGTTGCCACCTACGACGACTCGACCTGGCAACTTATAACGCACGCATCCTGAGGACTGACGAGAAGATCCTGGAGCTGGAAGAAGAGATAGTCAAGTTGCGCTGGAATATCATAGGATTATCCGAGGTCCGAAGACAGGGGGAGGACACGGTTGTTACGGCCTACGGCTGCTCCCTTAAAGGGTCAAATCCTCAGGGGCCCATGAGCTGAAGACTTCCCGAGCAGACGTAGGTCGGGCCTCAATGTGGCCACGTGGAATCTCTCTAATTACACTAAAATATATGGGGGAGCGTTATACTACGGCCAGTCGACCGGAGGGAATTTGAACGTAGCTTACTTACCTATATCCAAGGCGACTGGTCCCTCCGGAGTCGGTCAGGTCACATGTGGTTGTGTAGTGAAAGGGAAAGAAGGTGATGTGATGTGTATCTGGGTGTGACTGCGGGTGATTGAACCTAGACCTTGGCCGTCGGCAGCAGCCCGAGCGTCAACACCGCTCCAACTTGAGGGGGCCTTCTGAGGCTTTGTCCAAAATGCTGCACCGCTTCAGACTGCTTCGGCGCCGGACCACAATCACTTTCCTCGTTCGTCACTATGACAGTCAATTAACTCTATCGTACGATTAACTAACTTACAGAAGCCACTAACTATCGCGGGGTATAAGGTTACCGCACAAAACGCACACGGAGTTTCTGGATCAAAGGTCGCTACCGTTTCGCGTTGCAACAGTTAGTTCTAGAATATCAGAGGCCGCACTAGCTAATATTGCCGAATGCACTTATGCAGATTCTGAGTCAGACACAATGTGTCCCGGGGAAGCTCTCCAGTAGGGATGCGTCCCACAAATCCTAGACCGTATTTTTACTGTCCGCGCTTAATTATTCCGAGTTTCCGACAAGAATGACAGCGTGCCAATCGTTAGCACTGCTTAAAGACGACTGCCTACCCTTGTGCGTTTTTCGCACGACCGAAAGTCAAACCGGTATGAATGCACCGCGCCGAGCGCCCTCTCGCGGCAATCCTTGAAACTAGCGCTTGGCGCGAACAAACCCCCGTCCCGGACATAAGGATTAAGGTCCGCGAGCAAACCGGTCAGCGGGACAAGGTCGCGACGGCAAGCTGCAAGACCGAATCCACAGCCAAACTAGGCCACCTTAGGCACCCCAGCAGATCTTGTAACCCTAACCAACGCCTCAAAATTACCGCCCCAACGTGGGCAAGCCGGAGAATCAGCCTCCACTGGATGTCCCTACTGGGCATCGCAGCACTTTAACAAGTCCTGTACTGGACAGAAGTCCGACGACCTCTTTCAAACACCTATCTGTGCCCCTATGATAGTTCCGCAATCCGACCGTATCAGCTCTGCAACCAGCGGCGCTACACGAAGCTGCCCAGACAAATTTTATGCCAGCAGTTGCTTCAGTGCAGAGCACAGCCACAAATTCCACATGAATGTCGTCTGTGGAGAGCCGAACGAAACGCACAGATAGTCCCTAGTATGAATTTTCAACAAGTAGGCCTAGCCAGGCCACCCACCATATTATCATTTACTAAATAGTGCGGCAGCTGATTTCAATCTGACAATCCCCAAAACAAGCTAGCCTGTTAGGCAAGTAGTCCTATGCTCATATTTCAACTAATTTTTCAAAAGCATCATTGTTCAACTACAGAATTAATTCAACCAAATTAATCACCGATGCGCATAGGTCAACTTGCAAATTAAACAAAACAATAACGTAAGGGACAGCCCTCTTTCTTCGCAAAGCAAAATGACTAAACACTATCATAAACATATACATAACTTTTCAAATAGCGCGCCATTCAATTTCAAATGAATTCAAATTTTCCTTTCAGCAAACAGACGCAACAATCAAATACAGTGATTAAATATATGTACAAAACACATGCAGTAGCATTTAAAGGAGTAGATTAAATTCAATTCTTTTAATTTAAACCGCTACAGATAGGAAAATTTCGCGGAAAGCCGAAAGCATTTTTTAATTTTAATTCAAAGAATTTTAACTAAGTGCTCGACCAAACCAAATCTAATACCCCTTGACAGCGTGATTTAACGCTCCAGAGGGGCCCTAATTTTCCCACCACCAAGGGGAGGCCACATGGCGTAAACCCGAGATCAATAGAGCACAACCGCTAACAGTCGCCACTCGGGTTGTACGCCTTCACTGAGACCGTCGGCAACAGAACATTTTGACAAGTGAACTGTTGACGGCTTAAGGCTCAGTGGAGGTGGCCGTGGTGGGAGCTAAGGCGGCAGCTAGCCAGGGCTGCCTCCATCAAATGGGGAACAGTGGTACACCAGTCGCGGCCACTCAGCTAACGGGAGTGAGAAGGGTCCAGCAGACCGATCAGTGGCCGTGAAGTTCCTTTCCACACGCTGGTGATGACACCCCCGCCCCTGGGGGAATTACCCCCCGACTGGTCGGGGGAGGGACCCCTTCCAAACCTAGGGGCCCGGTGGCTGGCCGGCGGGCGCCGAGAGTAGCCTGGCAGAGGGCGTGGCCGAGCGCCCCCGCCCGTGGGGGTCGAGGGCCTAGCAGAGCCCCGAGAGGAGACGCCGTTCGCACCCAGGCACAAAACTGCATGGTGATTGCCCTGGCATTGCAAACAGGGCCGTCGATGCGGACAATCTCGCTGGAGGTGCCCTCCCAGACAAGAACAGCACCAGCGGCGCTCCTTGGCGATAGTTCGCCACGCCGAAACCAGCTTACCTAATAATTTCGGGCACGACGTTACCCGATGATCAGACGCTCGACAATAGGAGCAGGGGGGCGGGTTGACGACGACTTGCCTGGAGGATTCAGCCTCTCACTGGGCACGGCTCGTAAGTCGTCAACGGTGCCCGCCGCGTTCTCTATCTGCCGGCACTGCTCCTCCAAAAACCGCAGCAGGTCATAGAAGGGCGGAATATAGGAGGCCTCGTCCCCGCCGTACCTCTCCTCAAAATGTATTCGAAGGTCGAGAGGTAGCCGGGACAGCACGATGCGGAGCAACAAAAAAGCCCATTCGCCCACTGGTAAACCCAGCCGCCTCAACGTATTACAGGCCACCAAGACTGGATCCAACAGGTCCGGACGCAGTATGGCCCGGTCACTAAGCAGCGGGAGGCTTAGAAGCTGCTTAACATGTTCGTCCGTAATTCGCCGGACGTCGGCGTATCTTCTGGCTAGGAGGTCCCGAGCAGTCTGGTAGGCGTCGTCCGACAATCTCAAGTGGCCGACGACGCCCAGAGCCTCCCCTTCCAGTGAGGCCAGGAGGTACGCCATCTTTTGGCTCAGGGTCAAGTCACTCCGGGCGTCCACTAGGCTGTCGAAAAGACCAACGAAGGTCAGCCATTCGGAAAGGACCCCGGAGAACCTTGGCAGGTCCAGAGTTGGGAGTCGTCCCAACAGCTCCGGCTGAAGCTGCTTCAGAGAGGACTCGGACAGGTCACTCATCCGAGTTTCACGCGCCTCCTCGGCATATCTGCCTTCAGCCTCGATCAACTCGTCCGTGAGCCAAAGGTACTCCTCATAATCCGCGAAGCAGGAGTCCAGGACTCCCTTCTCCACATTCGAATCCTCGAGTTCAGCGTAAGCCTCCTCCACTGCGGCCCTTCGAACATCCACCTGCTCGAACCGCTTCATCAAGTTATGGACCCTATCCGGTCTACCTATCAAAGCATGGGCGCTTGTGGCCCAGCGCAACTCAGTCCGCAGACAACGGATCAGTAGCTTGGGCGATGACATCACTACTAATAACAAATTACGACGCGGCTCGAGCACAAATTACAAAGATAACAAATAAAAAATACAACAAAAATTAACAGTTAATAAATGCAGTTCCTATCAAATCGCGTTGAATAGAAATTACACAAATACGAATTACTACGTATCAACCAAATACAAGTTAGCACAAAAGAAAAGACACAAATCAAATTGACAAATAACAAATACTAGTGCGATCAAATCAAGTTAAATTCAAATTGCGCAAATACAATTACTACTCTTTAGTTCAAATACAAATTACAATACAAACGAAGATACACATCACGGTCGATCAACATAAAATGCCTAGCTCGGAAATCGACCCTTCGATAAGTAATCCACTACAACTATCCGACAACGATAATTAACCGATTACGTAAAAATAACCATCTACCTACATGACGTATATCTCTAGAAAAACTCCCGCTTGCGCAACCTAGGGCGCGGTTTTTCAAATTACCCACTAACCAAAAAAAAGGCAAGCAACAAAGCAACAAAGGAAAATAATTTTATTATTACGTACAAAAAAATATTTTTACGTATTACGGACGGGCGTGATTGTAGATACAAATTAAACCAATCAAACCAACGCTCCCTGCCACCAAAATTGTTTAATGTTTATCAAACACTATGGTCGGGATCGACCGCGAATCGAACCCGGAACCGCGCTCTGCTACCAGAATGTTACGGCCTACGGCTGCTCCCTTAAAGGTCAAATCATCAGGGGCCCATGAGCTGAAGACTTCCCGAGCAGACGTAGGTCGGGCCTCAATGTGGCCACGTGGAATCTCTCTAATTACACTAAAATATATG